CCCCCCGCCAACCCCGCCAGGGACAAAAGGCTGACTGAGCACGAAGACTCCAGGGCCGTTGGTCCAACCAGGGCGGTAGGTGCCAACCCGTCCTCTCACCAGGGCGGTAGGTGCCTCCCCAAAAGGGCCGCTGGACCACTTGGCCCTGAATAAATTTACCCACTGCTGGGTCCCATGGGTGGGGCTGCCTTGCCCTCCGATCCCTGAGACCCAGGGGGCCGGAGGCTTTCTGCTCCCACCCCCACGTCGATTCCCTAAGCATACCCCACAGGGCCTGGCAGGTGTGTGTGAGGGAGGGTGCTTTCTCCTGGGCACAGAAGGACCATCTTCAGGAGCCAAGACTTAAAGCAAGTACTTGCCAAACTCTCCTGCAATACCAGTAGCTTCCAAAAGCCCCACTGCCCAGGTCACACTAGCCTTGGTAAATCAGGCTCTCTGCAGGTGGAACCAGCTCCCAGTCATTGGGCACCAAAGTAGAGAACCTGTGTTTTAAATTGATGCTTCTCACTGGTCAACATGCAAATGAATCACCTGGGGGTCAGGACAGAATGCAGGTGTTGGGGAGGGAGCGGGAGTCTGGGGTACTCTCCTTTCTAACAGCCCCCAGAGGAGGCTGCTGCTCATCTTTGGACCACTGCCCTTTTGAGTCCTAAGGCTGTAAACAACCAAGGCTGAGTTGGCTGTTGCAGGCCTAAGCAGGCTCCTGGGGCAGAAGTGTCAAACTGAGAGGCACACTCCCCCCAGGGCCTCCTGGGAAGCCTATGAAGGGACATGGGGGAGGAAAGGGCCTGGTGAGTGCAGCTGACCTTGAGAAGCCGTTACACAACATTAAGGGGCTTTTCCTCTGACTCTCAGAATCACCAGCCCAGCCATTGGTGTCTGTTGAATTGGGGTTCAAGGAGTCCACCACAGTGGTAAGAAGGTGGGAAAATCCCCTTGGGATTCCCATTTGGGGCCAACTGTCACTCTCAGCCATTAGGTCGAGGATGCCTCCAAAAACAGCCATCTGGAGATGGCGCTACTCTCCTGACCTGTCAGTATGGGGATAGAGGGCTGAGGCTGTGGGTTATTACTTCCCAGGACAAAGCAGCCTCTCTCCACACAAATCCACACAAACTTGGGCCAACCCCTGTGGGGGTCAGCTTACTGAACCTGGAGGAGCAGAGAGAGCCCAGGGAATTCATCCTGAGTTCTAAAACTGGTTGTAGCAAGGCTGGGTACAATGCTCCCAATCTTAGTACTCTGGGAGGCTGAGGCGGATGGATTGCTTGAGCCCAAGAGGTTGAGGTTGCTGTGAGCTACAATGATAGGGCAGCACTCTACCCAGGGCAACAGACTGAGACTTTGTCTCAAATAAATAAATAAATGGGGCAGTGCCCCCATATG